CCATCTCCCCGGCCCCTTGAGTTGCTTTCTTACCTAATCCTGTGCTGATATGAATGTCCAGCTACTTAATTTTGTTTACTTTCTATTTATGTGGATTCTCTCACTATTTTTTTTTTAGATATAGAAGGAGGTCTTGAGCTGTGAGAAGCCTAGTGATGTAGCACTTGCCTGGCTTGTGCAAGACCCTGGGTCCAATCCTTAGCATAAGTATATAATAATGACCTTCCCTCACTATTCCACTCAAATCTTAGGCCACAGTCCATAGTCCATCCTGTGAGGTCCTTAGGAACATGCACAGAATAGAACTTCCATTCCAGGTAGCTAGTAAGTGTGCTACAAATTGATTTTAAAAGTGGAAGCACTTATGCATGCCGTAAAATAACACATCTTTACTTCCCTGAACATTGCCAGGATAACTCACATATCCTTCCTTTTTCTCAGGTATAAAATATTGAGGTTATGGGGACCGGGGAGATGGCTCGATGGAATAAGTGCTTCCTGGCAAGTGCAAGGGCCTGAGTTCAATCCCCGGTTCCATAAAATAAATAAATAAATAAATAAATAAATAAATAAATAAAATAATAATAATACATAAAAATAAAATATTGAGGTTAAAGGAGACCCATACTAAAATAGGTAGAACAAGAATGATAAATTTGAGTCCTTTGTAGGAGAAGCAGGGAGGCAGGGGCCAGGGAGATAGCTCAGTAGAATAAGTGCTTGCCTGGCCTCAGTTCAATTCCCAGTACTGAAAAGAATAAGAAGAAGAAGGAGAAGGAGAAGGAGAAGAAGAAGAAGAGAGGCAGACTGCATGGTACTGAGAAGAAGAGATGGCGAAGGAGAGAGATGGGACAGTGCAAGAGGAGAGACAAGTAGCAAGGACCCAGATGCATGCCCCCCCCCAGTCACAGCATTCAGGCAGGAGGATCGCTGAGAATTCAAGGTCAGCCTGGGCTACAAAGTGAGCTCAAGGCCTGCCTGAGCTGCATAGGGAGACTCTGTCTCTCAAATAAATAAAATAAAAAATCAAGATATGATATGTTTACATTCATATCCCCAAGATGAATGTAATTATTATACATTGCAAACATACTAATGACAAAAATAAAAAAGAGCAGAGTTGGTTAGGCAGTCAGATTACTGATATTAAAATAGGCTTAAAATGTAAAAGAACAGTCAAAGAGAAAAGAAGGTAGGGATACTCTGACTTCTCTTCACTTCTCCTGTAGCACTTTCAAACACAGATACCATACAACGTTTTTGGATATCTTCACAGAAAAGCAAGGTACAAATACTTAAAATAAATATTTTCCAGCACTTGTGGGCCACCTTACTTACATCCAACTCAAGCTCTTCATTTGTTTCTTTCTTTCTTTCTTTCTTTCTTTTTTTTTTTTTTTTTTTTTTTTTTTTTTTTTTTTGCAGAACCGGTTATTGAACTCAGGCCCTTGTGCTTGCCAGGCAAGCACTTATTCTACTGAGCTGTCTCCCCAGTACCCCATTTTAGTTTTTAAACATAATTTCTGCTCCCACACAAGCCAGTCCCTACCTTTTTGATCATCATAATAACTGCATAAGTAAATCTGAACTTACTAATGCAGATTTCTTAGAGTCTATCAGTACAAAGAATAATCTTTAAAGCTTTTACATGCCCAGTGTAGTTAAAGACAAGCTCCATTAGTGACAGGCAAACACAGTTGCACGTTGTAAGCCTTACTCCATAAAGCTGAGTGACCCATCTAACACATGTTTTTTATTGTGGTTTGAACATGATCCTGTGCTTACCTTCAGCTGTTCTCTTAATTCAGTCACTCAGCTCAGAAACAATTTACTCACGTTGGACTGATCCACAGAAATGCCAAGGAATCTCGAAAATCTCTAGCGGAGGAAGTCTTCACTTGGAAGATGAACACAAGAAAATTCTGTGCTGGTCGATTCATATAAAATTTTTGTATTTGCTATTTTTTCCATGTTTCCATAGGCTTTACTGCTCCAGAAGAAATTGGAACTCTAAAGAATTAGCAACTCAGCTAATAACTCAGATATACCAATGTTTTAGTAAGTTTTGCTTGAAGTACCAGTATATAGATTTATTTTCAGGTCTCCTCCTCCAGTGACAAATGCAAAAACAAAGCCAAATCTTGGGGTCTAACTCCGAAGACTGAGACATATAAGTATTTTCTAACCTTTTGTAAGAGAAAAAGTTTCATACCAAGGATAAGTCCTTTTTTTTTTTTTTTCAAGGATAAGTCCTTGACCACTCACAGCAATAGATAAACTCATTGAGGATTTTATACAAACCCCATGATATAATGGAGAAATACAATGACATCCTCAAGAAATTTTCTTCTCATCTACAATCTTGAAAATGCTTGTCTGGGAAAACTAAAGACATTTAAAAATTCTAGTTTTTTAAACTAAAACCATACATAAAAAAAGAGATGGAACACGTGTGTCAAAACAGGAACCTGAAAAGGAAAATTGCAGTTACCTGTCCCTGCAGTGGCCTGTCCCTGGAGTGGCCTGTCCCTGGAGTGGCCTGTCCCTGGAGTGGCGTCAGTCCTCTCAGTCGGCTGCGACCCTCTGAGGTCCAGGTTCCACTGGCTAACTTGTGTCAGCCACAGAAGGAGCAAGAAGGAAACGTGATCCCTCCCGACGCCAGAGTAGGGAGGGTATTTACAGGGTTCCTTGCAGACCCAGAGACTGTGTTTAGAACACATTGCTCTTTGAGATCAGTTTGAGCAACTCAGCTAATAACTGACAACAGAGGGGCTAAGCTTTCCTCAT